TGAGTAAATCGTGGCATGTTAAGCTTCAATTTTCTACTCTATGAAATTGAATAATGAAAGAACAGTTCTTAACTTCATAGCATTGTTGGTAGATAAGGGGCATAAATACTGTTTATGTAATCCCACTTGGCATATAGCAAGCACTCCATGAATTTTGCTGATCCTTAGTCCTTTTCAATCCCAGAGTTTCCTTTAGTTCTTAAATAAGAGGGAAAGAATATCATACCATACAGAATAATTTAGTCTAACAGCACTGTTGACAAGATGTTACACTTATCTTAAGAGTAAGCCTTCATATCAACTTTGACAACCATGGTGAAATCGTAATCCTCGTCATATATAGATTCCACTTGAAAAGTAACTTCTAAACCTCTGTGAATCTAGAATACTCCAGAGACGTCTGCAGGAAAACTGAAAACTGGAAGCCTATTTCCAAAAAATTTTAATCAGTTCATCTTTTCCAGTAGTCAGCTTTTTAAAGTGATCTTTTGCAACTTCACAACAGGAACTGGTATCCACCTCCAATTTTTTGCGCTAATACTGATAGGAAAACTACACTCTCTACACCTACAGCCTCAAGTAATTAACAAAACCACTAACCTCTCTGCTACTGCATTCATAAGCGCCTTTAAAGTGAACAAGTCTATTGACCATAAAGCAATATAACCAGACATACTCCTAAAACACTGAACCAAAAAACTCAGCACATGTACATGTTAATATGCATCACATACACATGAACTAAGTATTTTATACATATAGTGCTAAGTGAAATTATGCATGAGAAACATTTTTCTAAGGTTTTCTTCTTGAAATAAGGAGTGAACAGTGATGTAAAGAGGAAAGACAAAACACCCTTCCCTAAAGCTTGCTGTATTTAAGATGTATCTGCATGTGCTAATGAACGAGTGTTAATGATACCTCATCCAGCTTGCACTAGTACTACCCACATTTATGAAGCATAAGCCACATATATGTAATTGTTCCTCTTCTTTCCACCACACCTTTGGAGAAGTTACCTTCAGAAAGGAAATTGAACTAAACTCCGGAGAAAAGCATGTGTGGTAGATATAAAGTTGTAATCAAAGATAAAACTTAATATAAACTAGTTTCTTGTATCTGCCTATTTCTCCCTGTAACATGACAGAAAGTGCTATAAATTGGAAATGTTGCAATAATAGAGCATGTAGGGTGCTTGCTTTGCATACAGCCAACCCGGGTTTAATCTCCGGCATCCCATATGGTCCCCCAAGAACCTCCAGAAGTGATCCCCGAGTGCATCCCATATGGTCCCCCAAGAACCTCCAGAAGTGATCCCCGAGTGCAGAGCCAGGAGTAACCCCTAAACCCTCCAGGTGCCAAAACACAAATAACAAACAGAAATACCCAACAAAGTTGCTACATGTATGTAACTTACATGCAGAAAACACTTTTGACACATATTAGGTCCTTTTTTCTTCAGAATCCTCACATCAGTCTCTAAGATGACAACTCAAAAGTCAAAAAAAGGATGAAGTACAAAAAAGAATAAGGGAGAAAATCTTTTAATTACTTTTGTTCTTCCTTTCTAAAATAGTACTAGTTTTGTCCATAACGCCTATGTCTATCATGATTGTTTAATTTGGCTATTGTTTCTAACTGCTCAAATTCTTTCAATTTAGACAAGTAATTAGCATAGTGCCATTCTTTTCCCTATGAACCAGAAAAAGAATCTTGACAGTTCTTGAAAGCTTTATGTTTGTCCTTCTAAATTTTTGTTCTGTGACCTTTGGTTATTACATCTACACACTAATGAACGGTCCTGTGAAAACAGATGAGAAGTAAGGGATTCCAGCAACTGGGGCTTCCCCTCCACCAATACCAGGCTATTTTTCTTTCTTTCCTATAGCACTCAACAAGTAACACAGAAAAGAAAAGGGCTAACATTATAGATAAAAAGCTGCACAAAGAATTAACCCAAGTTTTTCAGGAGTCTACTGGTTTTAAGTACTTAAGTTTGGAAAACAGCTTCAAGATGTCGTGTGTAGGAATGCATAAAAGATAACACCTTGCAAAAGTGAAACATATAGGTTTAATAATATGCAACTAATGAAGATGGTTTATAAATGAGATACCACCTACACATTGAGTTCCCTAAATATATTATTCTATTAATAAAGTTAGACCTATAAGTACAAGCTTCCATTTGTGGAAAAGTATATATGCTTTTAAATTAAAGAAATTATCACTCTAATTCTTAAAAATACAACTATCAGGATATAATTCAAGTGCAGCTGCTCATAGTCACTGAATCTGGTAATAAAACATTTAAGTTTCAACCAATGCACCTTTGTTGAAGCACATTTAGCTGAAATAACTTCGAGTCTGGTTTATTTCCATCACATAGAGTACATTTTTTTTTTCAACAAGAGCATGTACATTCAATATAGAACATTTCCAGCAACAGTTACAGTCTTTCTAGTTTCCTTTCACAGTATATTTTAGTGCAAAGCACTGGGAAGGGTAAATGTTTTTCTAGCTATAGAAGCATTGTATCATGACCTTGTGGATCTTCAACATTTAAAAAATTTCATACAAAAGTTTATTGATGGATGGGATCCCTCTTAAGTACAAGTGTGAACCTATATAAAAACATGGTATATTCTCTGCTGTACCTTTAAAATAATAATTTGACAAAAATTACTACAAAATAAAATAATTTCTAAAAAGTACAAAATACTGATACACAAAAACTTGCCCAAAATTTCATAGATATGTGTACTTCTGTTTTTCCTAAAATCTTGATTATAAAATTGAACAAGAATTCATTATTTTCCAATAAGAATCAAATATTATCTAAAGTGGTAATTTAAAATTTTTCTTGGGAGAAAAGAAAAAAAAATCAGGGTTTATGCCCCAATCCTTTTTTTTAAACAAGAAATAAACTTGGATCATTAAGAAGTAGTTGTGCATGGATTGTCAACATCCATAAAATGAGTAAAACATTTACTACCTTCATATTAACATTAGTAAATGTGTGATCTTTAAAAAAAGAGATAAACTGAAAAATTAAGCTGCGTCTATCATTAAAGTGCATTGTATAAAATTTAAAGAAAAAGAAGGGAATGTTTAATTTTGTTTAAAACTTCAGATGTTTACAAATGAAAAATGTAATGATCCATGGATGAAAATGAACTGGAACCTTCCTGTAGTATATATTTTTGGATGAAATTTTTAAACATTTAAGTGCTGCAGAATAAAAATAAACATGTAAAAATAATTGCAAATCGTCAGTAGGCTAAATATTTATGACATGTTGTCTACTAGTTTGTCTTTTGGTCCTACCATACACTGACTAAAAAAATCATCTATCTGTACAATCTGAGAGAAAAAATACCAAATAAAGTAGAACTAAAACCTAAAACATAAAGACTTGTCAATTAAGTCACCAGTGGTGATATTTTCTTCAGGTTGTTGATCACTTTAATCAACAAACTGTTTAAAAAACAAAATTTAGAACATTTTTATAAAAACTGTAGACTAAAACGCACAAGATCAGGGGTGGTTAGCTGATGGACTGTGATGACAATATGTAATGTCACAGCTACTTGAAAGTGCTGAAAAGGCAGTGCCTTAGAAACAAGTAGTTAGGCGGTTATTATTTTAGTCAGAAAACAGCAGTTACAGTCGAATATTTATGAAAATGGTTTTCTTTTTTCTCATAGTACCATTTGAAGACGTTTAGTGGTTCTAACACCAATTTAAAGTCTTTCCACAAAAATGAACTCCAAACCTTTTCGTACATCACTTGAAGTTATCTGAGGAGAAATGGGAATAAATGAACACTTTGAGTTTACCAATAAAACCTTGTTTTTTTCAATTATACAATAGCAAATGACTTCTAACGGATGGAATGACTTCAAAAGGATGGCTTCATCTCAAGTTTTCCAAATAAAAACTATGTGATAATCAACAATTTAACCTACTCAGCACCTGAAACTAAGTATACTGCTTGAGAACCTAAATTAAATACAAATTTAATTTAATTAATTAGCTGCCTTAAATGCCTTATTACAAAGAGACATGGGTACCAAAAGGTAAAATGTAAAAATATATAGGCTTTTAAAAAAAATCTTAGTTTACTTATTTTAAACTGCATTTTGTTGAATCTAAATTTTCTCAAAATCCCTCTAAAAAGTAACATTTATTCTTTTCCAATAGGGATTTTCCTTTTCTTGCACTATACAACCACCAAAAACAAAAGAAAAAACCCTACAAAAATAACTATATAAAAGCTATGATCACCAAAAGGTTTGTTAAACCTGAAAGGTAAAAAATGACTTGGGACCTAGGCTCATCATTTTTTCATACACTGAAACTAAAACACACTATCCTGACATTTTCCAGGAGAAGGAAAAAAATCCAAACTTTATGTTATCACTTTGTCTGGAAGTACTTTGTGAAACATAAATAACTATTTATGCTAAATTCAACTTAGGGATTTTTTTTTCTGAGTGCAGCACTTTATTTGGCCCTCACAAATTAATTTTTACAATAATTAAAGAACCTCAAAATACTCGTTTCCTTATAATTATCACCTTCACAAATTCATTCTAACATATTTAACTTTTCTATAATGCACTAATTAGTAGACGAAGCCACTGAATCAAATTAAGCCTGTGCAAACTTAAACAGAAGACTTCTATTGTAAACATAAACCAGTATAAATGCATTTTTTACAACATTAAAAGGAAAGCACTGACCCTGTGCCATCTATTTCTAACTATATACGTTGTCCTGTGGAAGAAAAGCTCTGACATTTAACTTTTGTTCCCAAACCACTGGAACAAAGGTCACTGCAGAGGTAAGTGCAATATGCACATTACACTTGCAGTTCCCATTACCATATGTGGAAGCAAATATGTGTTAAAATGGAACCGGTTATAAATTATGCTCAAAAACTGTTTTAGTTTGATGGGGGAAGGGGTTGGGGGAAGCAAAACTCTGTAACTGTTCCTCACCAGACAAGAGCCTTAGATCTTGTACTTCGGCCTTTGGTTTTGTTTCCTTCAGGTGAATTAGAAGCATTTGCCTTATGTGTTTTCTTATGGTGTTCAAGATAAGTCTTTTTGGCAAATGCCTTTCCACATTTATTGCATCTGTGAAGAGAAAAGTTTTTTGTGACTTTTACTTCAATACCAACGTCAGCTACTTCATACTTTTTACTAGGAGAGTTAGAAGTGCCATCATGTTTCGAATCACTATGTTTTGCTTCGTCCCTCGAAGGGCCTCTTTTTGCCACTTTATTTAGAACAAAATCAATGGGCTTTTTTATAGCTCTGATCTCTAAACTGGCTGTTATTTTCCCAAGATAGCGGGATGACTTTTTATGAACCACAGTTATATGTCGTATCACATCTCGCTTCCGACGAGTTTCATAAGTGCAAAGAGGACACTTGTAGAATTTAACATAAATGTTATTCCCATCTGTGTGCAACTCAATGTGTTTAGTCAAGTTCTGTTTGGAAGTAAACTGACGTTTACAAAGTTTACAGTAAAGTTGCTTAAAGTCAAAGCCAGCTGAAAGTTTTGGTTTCCTGGTTTTTTGCTGGCCACCACCTGCAGCAGACGGACTAGTTGATTTAGGGCTTTCAGCATCTTGTTTAACTTTATTTTTCTGTGCTGCCGGTGTGTTCTTTTTTTCATTTGAATGATTTGTTCCCTTTAATTCATTCTGTGGAGAATGGGTAATGGAAGGGGGTGAAGATTCTACAGAATCTGCTGGTTCAACTTTAACTTTTATTTCTGAACTGTTGGCAGTATTATTAGGGCCTTTCTCTCTTTTAGAGTTTGTTCCAGAAAGAGTTATCTTGTGGACAATTTGCATATGTCTTTTAAGCATTATTTGCGAACTATATTTCCTCTTGCAAAGGAGGCATTTGCATGCAGTTAAATTGTATTCAGCCTTTGAAGACGACTTTTGTTTTCGAGTCTTAAAAGATTTTTTAGGAGAAACAGAATCCAGGAACAAAGGTTGCCCAGGCTTTGTTGCTATATCAGGAGTAATTGAATCTCTCCTTAGTCCTCTATGAACTTCATCAAAATGCCTCCTTACATTCGCTTTTGTAGCAAATGATTTACAACATACAGGACAACTCCGACTTAATGGAACTAAAACATTCTTATTGCGTCCCTTAGATTTGTTTGGATTTTTTCGTGTTTCAATGTACTTTTTTAGTTCTTCCATCTTTTTCTTGTGTACTTTCCGAATGTGACGACGAACACCTCGTCTGGAATTAAATTCTTTCCTACAAAGACAGCATATCAACTGGTGACCGAAGTCAGAATTGTCAGAAGTATCCAAGTCAGCCTGTGATTCCTGAGGTTGCTCATCAGGTGCAGGTGCAACTTCATTTGCAACAATCTCAGCAGGAGGGGGCTCTACAGTTTCCACCTCTGTATCTGGGACTGGTGCTGTTTTAGACTGTTCAGTGCTAGTAGTTTCCTGTATTTGAACTTCAACCTGTTCAGGAGGATTACTTGACTCTGTAACTTCAGTAGGATTATCAGTCCTTGAAATATATTGAAATACAGCATTCTGGTTAGTTTCTATAGGTTCTAGCCTAATAATATATTCTCGTTTGTCCACACTCGGATATATGGCTTCCAGGAGATCACTTATGGCTTGGCTTTGTTTATCATTTACATCAGGAAGGTCTGTTAGAGAAAAAAAACATTTAAACATGATTAGCCTGCTCTAGCTCTGTTATTTTAAAATGTATTATGAACTCTAAAGATTTATTTTATTATTGGTTTACACTTATTTTTATAAGAATACCATCTACTGGTCTGTGTTTTATAAAGATAGAAACTCGCATTACACAAAACTGGTTTCAATTAAAAAATCTTTTAGCTCATGGTATACAAATGTAAAGGAACAGATGCAATCAGCATAACTGCATTCATTTCTACGTACCCTTAATATAAAATACATAGGAAAATAGCATCCTAACAATATTTTCAGTCTAAAGATTTTAGGCTAGAAAAAAAAAATCCAAGATAGAAAAAACATCATAGGGCTGGAGCAACAGTACATAGTACAAGAGGGTAGGTGCTTGTCTCGCACACAGCCAACCTGGTTGGTTTCCTATATGGTCCCCTAAGCCTGCCAGGAGTGATTCCAGAGTACAAATCCAGGAGTCAGTCCTGAGCACAGCCTGGTATGGCCCCAAACAAACAACAAATAAAATGAAAAGAAGTGTTACTTAATATTAAAAAAATTTTGCAAAAAAAAAATAACATTCCTATCTTCTTAATCCGTAACAATCAAGTCTAATTGCAGGAGGACATCTGCACATCTTATGGAAATTTAAAAAACATGAATACATAGAAATATTTATCAAAGTCAGTCCTATTACATACATACTTAAAATGAAACAAGTTAATAAAAATTACTCAAAACTGATGTAATTTTAATTGTACAAAAATTGTAACTTCTATAGACAACCAAACACTCCCACTGTAACAACCAACACTGGTTATGCGTACACATACAACTCTTAAAATCTAGCTACAAGGCCAGAGAGATAGTACAGGAGAGTTAAGATGCTTGCCTTGCATGTGGCCAGCTTCAGTTCCTAACTCAATCACTGCATAGTGACCCCTGAGCCCAGAGCCAGAAATAAGACCTGAGCAGAGCCCAAATTCAACCCCCAAAGGTACTCCCACCATAAAAGAAGTTACCAATCCCTCTCACCCCAGAGTAGTATCAGGAACATACCCTGAGCAAGATCAACTATAGCCCAAACCCCTTCCCTGGAAAAATAAAAATTGTCTTAATATACTCTAGCTACAAGAATCTGGAAAAAAACTGAATGCCCAAGAACAGATGACTGGTTAAATAAACTTTGGTACATCTACACAATAGAGTACTATGTAGCTGTTAGAAAAGATGAAGTCATGAAATTTATATACAAGTGGTACTACATGGAAAGTTATCATGCTAAGCGAAATGAGTCAGAAAGAGTGGGACAGACATAGAAAGATTGCATTCATCTGGGGAACATAAAGTAACAAAATAGAAGACTAGCAGCCAAGAATAGCAGAGTACCAGGTTTTAAATACCAGGAGGTTTGCTCCACGGCTTGGAGGCCAGCCGCACACGCTGGGGGAAAAGGCAGCTCAGACGGAGAAGGGAGGACCAAATAAAGGGTGTTGGGAGGATCCTCCCAGGATGGGAGATGCATGCTGAGAGTAGACTCTAGACCAAACATGATTGCCACTCAATGCCTCTTCTGCAAACCACAGCACCCAAAAGGAGAGAGAGAACAAGGGGGTGCCCTGCCACAGAGGCAGGGTGAGATAGGGAAGACAGGAGGGGGGGGAAGGGGGGAGGAGATACTGCGATTAGTGGTGGTGGAGAATGGGCACTGGTAGAGGGATGGGTATTCAATCATTGTATAACTGAAACCCAAGCACAAAAATTTGTAAATCTACAACTGCACCTCATGGTGTTTCACTAATAAAAATAAAATATATATCACGGTCCTCCCGTTGTTCATCGATTTGCTCGAGCGGACCCAGTAACGTCTCCATCATGAGACCTGTGTTACCGTGTTTGGCATATCGAATACGTCACGGGTCGCTTGCCAGGCTCTGCCATGCGGGCGGAGATACTCTCAGTAGCTTGCCGGGCTCTCCGAGAGGGGCAGAGGACTCGAACTCGGGTCGGTCATGTTGGCCGCTTGTAAGGCAAACGCCCTACCACTGTGCTATATATATATGTATATATATACTCTAGCTACAAAGACAACATCAATCTTCTATCTATACATAACTTAAGAAATGATTCAAGTTCTAATCTACTCATCTTCCTTTTGAAACGGATAAACAGGAATATGGAGTACACCTTCAAAGACGTTATTTCCAGAATGAGTATTGCTAAGAATACACAGTAATCCAACATATCCCTTTATCTAATTCCCCCACAAATCAAGTTCACAACAAAAATAACAATGACTATCATAAAATTAGCTAATCTCTACTATTACTCTAAAAGATTAGATTTGAAACTAACCTCTACAGATGACCCTTTTCATTACATTACAATGATTAAAAGTCCAGTAAGATCTAACAGAAACAGGAAAAGTTTCCAATTTGTTTTCCGATTTGGAGTCTACATTTCATTACTATCTCAGAAATTGTTTGAAAAACTCATAAAATACATAAATCTAATTATCAAACAGATAAAATTCTATACTTTCTAAGTCCACAAACAGCTTAATCTCTGAAATAATGAAGACAACCTATTATATTTTAAATTTTAAAAGGAACTTGGTAGATTTTTAAAAGTAAAGAACACATGAATACCTGAAACAACTGTATTATGAACAACTTTGTAAATCATGGTGTTTTTAAATTTTTTTTAAAGAACATTATACTGGGGCTTAAGTGATAGCACAGCAGGTAGGACATTTGCCTTGCGTGCGGTCAACCCAGGTTCTATTCCCAGCATCCCATATAGTCCCCTGAGCACCACCAGGAGTAATTCCTGAGTGCAGAGTCAGGAATTAATTACCTCTGTACATCGCCAGGTGTGACCCAAAAAGCAAAAAAAAATAAAGAAAGAACATTATACTAACTTGATCATGAAGAGACAATGTACTTAATGCAACAAATATTGACTTCACCAAGACTTTATTAACCTAAAACGCCTTCATCACAACATCACAAAACTATTTTGAGTCTCAGGTTTCTGATAAAATAACTGATTTTTAAAATTAATTTCACTAAGGATAAAAATAATCTTCAAGACCCAGAACAGAGTAGAAAGAATAATATGTTAGTGTTTGCCACCGTTCTTAAAAAATAAAAATACAACTAATTTACTTTTCTTTCCTCTATTTCCAACTTTCTCATGTACTTAAGGGGAATGTAAATGACCAATCATATATGGTAACAAGTTATTAAAGAAATAAGAAAGAATGTTCCATTTCTTCAAGCATTAGTATTTTAACATAGAGGGGCCAGAGACAGAGTATAGGAGTCTAGGTGCTTGCCTTGAATGTGGTCAACTATAATTTAATTCCTAGCACTATATATGGTCTCTGAGCATTGCCAAAAGTGATCCCTGAGCACTAGAGCAAGAAGTAAGCCCTTAGTACAGTCAATTTGGGCCCCAAATCCAGGGTTTTTAAACCTTTAAAAGCCTTGAAAATAAACTATCTGATGCACCTAACTATCCAAAATTTTATTTCTTCATATTCTCGACTAGATTTGCTCAGGGGCTACTTCTAACTCTGTGACCAAATGATTTTTCAGTACCATAAATAGAACACGGGGATCTTACATCAAAGCATGTATTCAACCTGTTGAGCTGTTTCTCTAGTTTACATCCATCTTTCCACTTTTTCTCTGCTTAAAATTTTTTTTCTTGATTTGCTTTTTGTCTTGTCTTTTTCCTTCCATATCCAATATTTTAGTAAAAACATAATTGCAAATCTAAACCCAGAGACTGAAAAATATCCAAGAGAAAAGCACTACAAAGGGGCTAGCGCAATAATACCACAGGTAGGATATTTGGCCTTGCACACAGTCAGTCCAATGGTTTCCCCCAAACCCTCCAGGAGGGACCCCTGAGCACAGAGCCCAGGGTAAGCCCTGAGCAGAGCAGGGTGTGGCCCCAAAACCAAAATAAACAAGAACCTAAGAAACTGAATATAACAGAGACACATCTATTCCATTTTATTCTCCATCATTGATTTATTTGTAAGTAGATAGCAATTCCTTTTAATCACAAATTATTGCTCAGCATAACATCTAACCATAAAATATATAACTGGATATATGAATAAAACTTACTGTCATCCATCTGGAGACTTGGTGGACAGTAGAATTTCTTATGGGTAATTAAATTTGGTAATCCTCTGAAGAGACTGCGGCACAATTTACACTCAAAAATAGTGTCCACATCTTTTAATAAAATATGCTTAAGCTGTTTAGTTCCTAAGGGAAGAAGAAAAGAAAACGTAATACAAAGGCTAACTTTAATACGCAATCTTAACTGGGTAACACTGCCTACATTCCAAAAGTGCAGTGACTCTAAAAATAAAACACCACCAATTTCTACAAGTATCTTCGAATCTAAATTATAAGTGGTGTTCTAAAGGAAATCCTACTACCATCTGGGATAGATAAAATTAATTTTAAGTTCAACAACCAATTTTTGAACAACTCTAATAACTTTTTGATCATAACAATAGACTGGGAATATAGATGTCTATAACGGAATAGATTCAATGGTTTTACCATAAGAATAATTACATGTCCTCCCTCCATTTTTAGCTCTTTTTAGCTGTTTCTTTTAGCTTCTGCATTAGGAAATTAACATTGAATGTTATAATATACCTTCCTAATTCCTTAAAGAAAGGAAAAACTATGTCAGAGGGTTGCTTCTAACTTTTGTTGTAATTCACCTCAAATCACTCAGGTTCCAGACACTGATACAGGATTCTCTCTAGATCTCTAAGGTAAAGGTAAAGGCCCTCCCGTTGATCGTCGATTTGCTCAAGCGGGCCCAGTAACGTCTCCATTGGAGACTTTGTTGTTACTGTGTCTGGCATATCGAATACTCTCGGTAGCTTGCCGGGCTCTCCGAGAGGGGCGGAGGAATCGAACTCGGGTCGGCCATGTTGGCCGCTTGTAAGGCGAACGCCCTACCCGCTGTGCTATTGCTCCAGCGATCACTAAATGGCTATAATAATCCAACATGGGATGAGAAGGCCATTTAGTGAGCCAATAGAAAACCCTTGCCTATGATTTTAAATTTTGCTTGCTCTTTTAGTTACATGATAAATTTATTCAAGGCCTTTCTCTCTTAAAAGCGTATCCCAACTGAAGCTAATTAAATATTGATAATTGCCAGTTTAAAATCTGTCTTCTCCATAGATTATAAAGTCCAAAGAAGCCAAGAACAAGCTTAATTTTCAACAACTAAGTATTCAATTCTGATAATAATCAAGATTCTTTGAACAAGTAGCATTTATCCAAGGAATCTAAGCATTATGATGAAAAATAGCAAGTGGAAAGTAATAAATGCCAACAAACATCTGATCTTTAAAATACACTATACAATAGAAATGAAATGCAAACAAATCTGTTGTCATTCCTTCCTGAAGGTGCTTGCCACTGTTAAACTGATGGAAACGAATCAACATTACTTTCTAGTTAATCTTTAGTGTCCTCAAATTTAAAAAAATGAGTATCAGAGAGGAAAAAAAGTCTCCAGGAAAAATTAGAGTCAAAGTATTCCACTATTAAACAAGCTCTGAGACTACCAAAGAGTAAACATAATCTTCTGTATAATTAGTATTGGAGTACCTACTAAACCAAATATCTCTCTTTTTGTAGTCTTTTTACATTTCTGTATTATTTTGTATTTTATTTCACTTTGAAAAATAGGTCAGTTCTCCAAAGTTTAATGCAAAAAGACTGATTACATCATTACCAGAATTTACTAGTGAGTCTTTCAAGATTGCAATTATGGTATCTATTTGTGTGACCTTAAACAGCTGTATAATTTCTACATTCACATCTATCCAGCTTGTAAAATCAACAAACCAAAATAAACTATCTCAGGGACCAGAGAAATAGTACAGTGGTTATAACACAGCACTTGCCTTGCATGCCGCTGATCCCAGTTCAATTCCCGGCACAACATATGGTCCCTTGAGCACCACCTGGAGTGATCCCTGAACACTGCTGAGTGCGGCCCAAAATCCCAAAAACAAAACCCAAACAACCTCAGCTAATTTTTTTTTAAAGATACAAACTATGACTGAAACCCAATCATTAACAACTTTGTAACTGTGTATCTCACTGTGATTCAATTAAAAAAATTTTTAAATTAAAAATATATATAAAACTAAAGTCTCAGAAAAATTAGTTTCTACTGGGAAACATATATAATATGGATTCATTTCCACTATTTCCCAAACTGAAGTAAACTTTACTAGACCATATTATCAAAAAGTCAAAAACCATTTTAAATAGTTTCAGTACCATTCTTTACATGAAAGTATACTCACATTCACACACACACACACACACATACACACACACATATACACACTCATTCTCTAGTCTATATCACATTATGAAATATCTTGGCAGGTGAGAGGGGTAAAGGCACTTGCCTTTCACATAGCTGACTCTGATTAGATCCCCAGCTCTGCAAATGGTCCCCTGAGCCAGGAACAGTCCTTGAGTACCACCCAAAGCCCCCAAACTGAAATAATATTTAGCTCTTAACATCATAAGTGTCTGACAAACAGTAAGTAGACCAATGAGGGCTTGAGCGAAAGCAAAGCGAGTAGGTCATCTGCCTTGCATGCAGCCAACCCGGGTTCAATTCCTAGCATCCCATATGGTCCCCGAGCACCGCCAGGAGTAATTCCTGAGTGCATGAGCTAGTAATAACCCCTGAGCATTGCTGCATATGACCCAAAAAGCAAAAATAAATAAATAAATAAATAGAGAAGTAGACCAATCTATAATATTATACTGAGAAACTAGGTGAGGCAACAAAAAGAAATTCCTAAACAATTCTATTCTAAATTTAAAAGATCTGCTAAGAATGCAAGTCTGTCTTTAAATAAGGGTAAGAAAAATCATAGTACATAGTAAGGTTGCTCGTCTTTCCCATGGCCGACCCAGTTGTAATCTGCAGCACTTCATACAGTCCCCCAGTCCTGCCAGGAGTGATCCCTGAACACAGAACCAAGAGTCAGCCCTGAGTACAGCCAGGTGTGACCAAAAATATATATAAAAAAAAAAGTTTGTGGTGAGAGAGATATCACTTTGAGTAAAGTGCTTGCCTTGTACGTGGCTGACTCATATTTGACCCGACACCCCAAATGGTGCCTCCAAGCCTGCCAGGAGTAATCCCTGAGTGCAGAGCCAGGAGTAAGCCCAAAAATCAAAAACAAAAAAGGAAAAAGAAAAAAAATCTGAGAAAAGACACAAATACAACTTGAAATAAGTTTAACATATAAATTCAAATAAGATTTAAATGGCAAGTACAAAATAAGATTAAACACTTAAAAACTACTAGTAAAAATGTAATAGAGCATCTACATTCAGATTGATTTGTCTATCAGATCCTGTAAATCAGCAAGAAAAAATATACATGTGTACCAATTTCTTACTAAATCCAAGTTATAGGGTTTTATTTAATTAGAGAGTATATTTACTCCCAATAATCATTTTCACACCACTATTTATTCCCCAAAAAGTTTGGCTTTAAACTTGGCCTACCAACCATAATTATCTATCACAAATGCTTCGTAATCCACACAATACACCAAATTTCTTTCATATCAATGGATTTACCAAATTCCCTCTCACTTTTCAGGCGTCACCAATGTTTTTGGTTCTTTTTGACCCTGCCTACAATATTCTCCTTCTCTGGTCTGCTCAACAATTCTTCAGATCCCAATTAACTTCCATCAGGAAGCACTTCTCTTATACTTTCTGTTTACAAAGAATATATCTATACTCCCATCATACCTTCTGTATCTATACAAGCTTATCCCACCATCTTGTAATGAATTTCATTTCTGCATTCCCATTAAACTGAAAGTTCTAGCAGAGATAATATTGTTAGTGCTCCCCATTACATTTGGTAAGTGACATACTGGAGTGTTCTATGTTAAAAAAAATCTATGAAACAGATTTTATGGAGAGTTGACTGGAAGTCAAAATCAGGAACCAAAATCTTCTTTTTGTTTCTAAGGCACACTGCTAGGGCTTACTCCTAGCTCTGTGCTCAGGGGACCACATTAGTGCCAGGGACTGAACTTTTATAGATTGGCTGCATGCAAGGCAAGCACTTTACCCACTATCTCTTCAGCTCAAGATTTTTCTATTTCTACCTATACTTTTTACAAATGAGAAAAACAAGATACCCCAATTCCACAAATACTGATAGCAAAAGTTTTCTCACTAGTTGCAGGCACCACTTAAGATTCCCCCCCCCCCCCCCCCCCCCGCCATGGACACATAATGGCTTTATTCTAATTAACCTTCATTTTCTGATTGCTTTTCTCACTAACATGGACAATCAACTTGTGTATGCCTGTCAACAACTGAAGCTCTGTCACCTGAGACATGTCATCTAGACAGGAGCATAAAGTTCTACACCTCTTGATACTGAGATCACAAACTTGCTTCCTCAGATTTCAAAATCATTTCAAAAGTTTTTTACTGCTTTCAACAGATCACTAATTGATGTATTTCAAAAAGTCAACCCTCAGGACTGGAGACATAGTACAGTGACTAGCAAGCTTGCCTTGCACAATGCCAACCCGGCACCCGCTATGGTACTACAAGCCCCACTGGAGTGCTCCTGGGACAGAGAGAGAGGCATGAGCCCTGAGCACCACAGGGTGCTGCCCCAAACTAAACAAAAATGCTACCCATTTGAAAATTCAAAAGATATCAAATTCATATTGAATGACCAGTTTTTAGTAGTGGTCAAAATGATTATTCTATTCCCGCCCAACCCCACCCACTTTTATGTTTCTCATCTTAGAGCAGTCCATAGCTCCTTTTGAATTTTTGGACATCCTTTGCCTCTACCAGAGACAATCAAACTAAGAACATTTTTAAAAACTCTATTTTAGTAACGATCTTATGTTACTTAAAACTTTGCTACAGTTTAGGACAAGAAATTAGGAGGAAGAAAGCTGAACTGAAAGTGTTAGTGGAGGGGCCTGATCAATAGTACTGTGAGTAGGGCATATCTTGCACACAGCCAACTCACGTTCAGTCCCTGGCTCCCCGTCTGAGCGCTGAGCCAGAAGTAAACCCTGAGTAGTACCACTGGGTGTATCAAAAACATAAAAGTGTTAGTAAAAAGGAGGGAAATTTAAAGATTTACTTTTGCATGTCCTTTGGTTAAACTGATTTATCATTTACAATATTACACAAATTCAGAAAGTAAGAAAGTACAGATTCATACTTCACACCTCTATTTGTGACTACACCTCACTGTACACACCACTAAAGTTCTTGTACTATTATAAGACTATGAGTATCTAAGATTGCATCCCACATACACACACAGCATACCTTCCATACTTACTTTAAACCAAAAAATTTCACATAATCCAAAAAGAAAAAACACATTATAATTATGTCACAGGGTCAGAGAGACAGAAGTTAAGGTGCTTGTCTAGCACATGGCCGACCCTGGTTTGATCCCTGGCATCACATATGGTCCTCTGAGGGGTGATCCCTTCGCACAGAGCCAGGAATAAGTCCTGAGAACAGTAGGGTGTATATCCAAAATAAAAACAAACAAAAAAATTATGTTACAGGCCAAGCTGCCAGAAATAAAGGGATAATGTAAAGTCAAGAATAAATAAAGTCAGGAAAATAGCCCAAAGCAAAAGTAAAGCATAAGGGGAAAAAAAAAAACCGAATCAAGCTGTCAATATAACACACATGGGATTGGTAGACCTAACATGTAAGCTAATTACTTCCTCAGTCTTTTATGAACTTCCAGCTTGGCTAGAACTTATACCAGGTCACTGTCAGCCCAGTTAAGGCAGAAAATGAGTCATGTAAACAGAGATATATAGTCACTGAAGATAATTAACTGAAAGGTAATCATCCTAACACATTACTACTACTACTAAACCTGAGAGCCTCTGTAGATTAAGAAAAGCAAAGGGAGGGTCCCAGAGGCAGTACAAGGGTTAAGGCACTTGTGCTTTATGTGCAGCTGATCTGGGTTTCATCCCTGATAACACAAAATAGTCTAGAGCCCTGCCAGGAGTGACTCCTAAGCACAGAGCCACCCGTGAGCCCCGAACCGTTCCGTGTTTGGGCCCAAAATATTGTTTTAAAGGAGGGTTGGTGAGATAGTCTAGTGGATAGGGCACTTGCCTTGCCCCATAAGGTTGCCAGTAATCAGCCAGAGCAGAGAACCAGAAGTACATGTTGAGCACCCCTGGTGAGGCTGAAAAACCACAAGAAAAAAGAAAAAGGGGCTGTTTTCCACCCTGGAGAAGTTCATACTCTCTCTTGAACACATACATACTTCTCGCTTTCTCTCCTCTGCTTTTTCCATTCTGGAAAAGCCTGTGGGCTCTCTTGAACACCTCTCTCTCTCTCTCTCTCTCTCTCTTCCCTCACATCACTCTGAATTTCTTTCAGTAAAAACTATTTTGGAGAAAGGAAGAGAACAGATTAGAGTCCTATCCACAAATACCTTTCAGAATATACCACTACTGGGGTAGTTCCATCTCTCTCTCTCTCTCTCTCTCTCTCTCTCTCTTCCCTCACATCACTCTGAATTTCTTTCAGTAAAAACTATTTTGGAGAAAGGAAGAGAACAGATTAGAGTCCTATCCACAAATACCTTTCAGAATATACCACTACTGGGGTAGTTCCTTAAATGTAATGCATGCAACCTAGTTGTAATGGAAAGAACCAAGAAAGGGACTAATCATTAAAGCATGATGGGAGCGCAGCGGGTCTTAGAGGAAGCTGCAAGTCTTAGGGATCTTAAGGCCCTGAACCATGTGGTCCAAATTTCCATCCCATTCTCCCAACGTTTCAGTCAGCTACAGTTTGAATACCTAGATGTAAGCCTGTGGGCTAGAGATGTGACTCAGCAGCGGCAGCAGCAGAGTATTTGCATGTGTGAAGAAGCCCTGGGTTTCATCCCTAGCACAATCAAAATAATAGGAGTTGTCTTAAGAGACACTTTTGATTATCCAGATATGGAAGAGATTAATTACTACCTTAAGGAAATAAAAACCAATTAGTCATAAGACAAGTGGTCGTTAAAAAAAAAATTCCTTCTGATGGGCTGCAAAGGTGGCAAAGGGATTAAGGCACATTCTTGGGCCCTCACATTGAACCACCAGCCTAAATTCCACCAAGGAGGTGAAAAAACAAGCAGGGAGTCAGAGCAGTAATATAGTGGGTAAGTAAGGCACTTGCCTTGCACACAGCCAACCTGGTTCAATCCCCATCAACCCATATGATCTCATGAGCCTGACAAAAATGATTCCTGAGCACAGAGACAGTAGTAATGCCTGAGCATGAGCGAATATGGCCCAGAAAGCAACAAAAACAAATTCCTTTTACAATCGAAAATTAATTCTCTTATACCACTCAGCATATTTCTAAAATCACTTCTAGTTTGCATTACTGGGTACAGACATGATCACTGAGCACCAGGAAAAGAATCTTCCAAAGTTAATTAAAAAATACATGGATTTTGAGTACAGGACTTTATTAATGGGTATTCTTATGATGAAAATCATTTATAAATGAACCAATTCTAATTTCTTAGCTAAACAATACTATAATATGCTCAACTCTTACTGCATTTAATATGTCAAAGAACAGGTGAAGACTAAGAAATCTTAAAGTCATGGAAACAAAATCTTTTATTTTTGATTAAGAAACAATCTATTTATTAGAGTCATAAAATAAAATAGACGATACTTCCCTTGCACACAGGTTAATAGACTTCTCAAAAATAAAACTCACTAAAACCAAGTAGCTGCATATAAATTATCTTCCTTTGTATCTTTGATTTTATTAGTACATGAGCATTAAGGTAATAACAAAAATGTTCTGTTCCTTTAAGTGTCCTTCAGTCATGTATGTTTGCTTATTCATATTTGACTGAACAGTCTGCAATGTCAGAAGAACCAAATCTACAAGAGGAGAAAAGTTTAATCCTAAGAATCATCGCAACCTAAGACCTTACTGATAACGCAACAAGTTCTAACAGTTCTCAATTATTTATATGTAGGATGGCAACTCTATTTTAAAGTACTAGACTGCAACTGTACATTTTATTTATCATATAGCTATTAATTAAAATAGAGGTTACACAAATATATTTGGAAATATTAAAACTGGGACAAAGAGTCAAAGAAATAGGGGTTAAGGCGCAGGTCTTGCATGTAGCTGACCACAATTCAATCCTGGCGCTACATGGTCCACGCCTTTAAGCATCATCTTAAAGGTCTGAGAGCACAGTCAATGACTATTTTATCCTGGGGCATCACAGGGCCTAAACATAAGTGCATCTGTGGACCTTAACCTTGAATTGCCTTTCCAGTTGGTCAAGAATTATCAGTGGTGCACTAGGCCCCCTGATCACCACCTGGAAGCCCCCACATTCCCTTAAAAAAAAAAGGAGCAAAAAAAAGAAAAACAGCCTTGAGATGTCTTTTACCCTATCTTGTGCTCTGTGATCTATTAAAGATATACAAACTCCAGGGTGAGGCAGAAAGTGAATCACATAAACTTAGATGACAAAGTAATTTCTCTGGAACGTGACATCTCAAATATTCTGAGTAAATAATCTATTCTGCTACAGTTTATAAAGACCCAATATAATTCAGTATGCTGTTTGAGCTTATAAAGAAAATTCCAAAATAGGACAATGAATCTTGAGTAAGAGGCAATTTACCAGCAAATGTCACATAATGTATTTCTTTAACCATAGTAAATACTCCTATTTTAAAATTAGTTAATACAACATATAGTACTAAAACACTGAGTCAATATTCATCTACTTTTTAAAACATGACAAAATATTCTATAAAGAAAATCAATGTATATATTTAATACTATTTAATGAATTTTAAGTTTTCTTCAATTCTAAGGATTTCTAAGTCCTTTATAACGTCTATGCAAAGATTGAAAAATCCTAAAACATTCATACCTGATCGAAAGCATTCAATTATTTGCTGAATACCAGATTTGGAAGTCTGTAGTGGTTGCTGTAACAAAGGAGCATCTCCAGGTTCCAGGATATAAACTAGATGGAAGACAAACACCCACCCCAATCCCCACAAAAAAAAGGGTTATTTAAATCATTTACTATTAAGGTAAAACAGTGGTTTGCTACAATCATGTTAATGATAATCACACTTGTTTGTAAGTATTTCACTATCATTTCAGTAAGGCAAAAAGAAATAATGAGGGGAAAGCTGAATTATTTTCAATTCAAGGCTAATTAAAGACTATTTAAGGCTTATATTTTAGTAGGTATAAATGCAACAATCCATCTATTTTAATATTATTTAGCACATATTCTTCATGCTTTCCTTTTTATTCCCCTTGAAGAGCAATCATTATATTTAACCAAAACTCTAGAGCAATGGTGGCCTAGCCACACTTCATAAACCATTCCAAAGCATTTGAGATAATCTATAGTACACTAGACAATTATAAGAATCAAATTCAAAACCTGCCTAAGGAAATAAGCAGTAAGTGCATAATTGTTAGAGGAACAAGAACGTTCACTGAAGCAGTTCAGCACTGCATGTAACTGAGAAAAATTTCAAGCGACTTAAAAAGTCTTTCAATTGGAACCAGACTAAATAAATTACAAAAGCTGTAAGTTCAATTTTCACATATTGATGACAAGGATGCCAGTAAAGCTTGTGCAAAAAAATGAGTTACTGGTAGACTTTATCATTTATATCAGATAGGACTTTGAATTAATATATTTCAATAGATATAGAAAAGTAAATTTTCTAAGTGTGCATATAAAGATGCTAAATGAAACAACCAAAAAGTCTGGTAGGATACCAATGATACTAAAAATGAATGACAGGGTGGTTTTATAAAGATAATTTACATTTTCCACCCCATACATACTGAATGTCTAAAAACCTGGGTTTCTATAAGCATACATTTTAGAAAGAACACACCTTAAAATAAAAATTTTCATAGAGATGTTATCCCTTTTTACCCCCCAAATTTTAAGATTAGCAGTATAAACACTGAATTAAATCATAGCAATGTGATACAGGTAACTGAAAAGAAAACAGTTTTCCCATCAAGTACAAAATGGAGATAGTAGTGAAGAAAAACTGGTGAATGAACTACCTCTTTTTTGAGATGCTGTAAAGTTCTACAATTATTAGCCTCCACCCCTGTGTGGAGTGATAAGCACAGAGATGTGCTCCTGCTTCAGGGCCCAGACTGAATTTTGTCTCGAGACCAAATAATTTCATTAAACAAAAGTTTCCCAATTTCAACAAATAGTTTCAGGGTATTTTAAACAAATTGAGAACATACATATGTAACACTCATTTTGAGACATATAACATTGTCACTACAGTGTTTAAGAACTAGACCAGGACTGGTGATATAAAATGCTTTCCCTGCCATTTACAAATGACAAGTAGGGCAAATTAAACTCATGATCTCAGAGTTGTCATCTCTAAAATGGAGATAATAAAAGTATTTATCATAGCTGTGTGGTGATTAATAAGAAAACTAATTAAAACACAGCCTCTGATATATTTAAGTGCTCAATGTTCTGCTATCATTGGCATCTTCACCACTGTGTACAAATCAATTGCTCTTCTGAAACCAAAAATCAAAAAATCTTTTTCAAAATCTAAGTAAAATCTAACTCCTTAGAGAAATTGTAGCAGGTCTGTAAATACATTAATGATACTATTTATTTGGAGTCTCATTTCAGAACATTTTTTGTACATTATTGACTGATAGCTATTCAGAAAAAATGCTAACCACAAAACAGAGGTTAGAAATGGTACAGATGTACAGAACTGAAATTTTCAAGTTGTGACTCTACAAATGGCAAGAAATCGAAAAGAAACCCAATGAAAAGAGTAACAAGAGAGGATGGGATATGGAAAAACAAGGGAACTTCCCTTCCTTATTAACTAACATTCTCCAGAAAATTTTCTGTAATACATCAATCTCTAGTTCCATATGACCTTATCTGATTTTTAAACTACAGCAAAATTTTGTTACCCACAACTTCCAAATGCTGCTACCACCAACACCCATATATATATGTGTGTGTGTGTGTATATGTTCTGAGACACCATTCAAAATAATTCCAAGGCTATGCATCCAATAGCTATGCATCTGCCTGCTATACATGTATGTCTGTGCTCATTGAAGAATAATTCTTCACTAAAAAACATACTCTCTGTGTCAAAGAGATAACGCAGAGTTGAAGGCCTTGAAAGCTGTCAACCCTGGCTCAATCCCTGGCAGAGTGTAGTCCTTTCTAACACCACCAGGAGTGACCACAGAGCACTGCTGAGTGTGTGTCCCTATCCCACAGCCAAAACAAACAAACAAGAAAATCTAAACACGTACTCTCAATCCAGGAAAACTATGTATTATTTTATGAAATCTCCCTTTATACATCCTATCATAGCACTCAAAGTGGGACGTACCCAGGCTACAAGAATATTTAGGGAGGAAAAACACAACATCTCCCTCCAATCAAAACCCTAAAGTTAACTAGCATTTTTCCACACCCTCCTAAGAACACATTTCATACAATAAAATACCTATCTTTGTAAAAGTTTCTTTTACCTTAAAACAAATCCCTTAAAAGATTCCTCTACTTCTGATGCTTCTGCTTATAATAGAGAGTAGTAGCAAGTGTTTGAAGGGTACAGAAGTGATTTGTGGGGAGGTCCACATGTTGATAACTCATGAGGCTGCATGATAGTTATTAGATTCCTTCTATCATTCTTTTTACTATACTTTGCGGGGGGCAAGGGAGCCCACCAAGCAGTGGTGCGGTGCTCAACAGGCAGGGGCCCCCACCAACAATTCTTGGCCATCTAGGCAGGCAGTTCAACGCAAAGGTGCAATGTTGAGGTTGCAGTGCTGCTTCGGCCCTAAAGTGCTAGTAATTACAGGGTAAGCCTGGTGGTGCTGGGGAGCCACAGGGCTGCACCTAGGGATGCTCTGGAGAGTGTGTGATGAGGAGGACTGAACTCGGATCAGGCACATACCCTAGTCTCTGTACTATCTCCAGCCCCTCTACTTTTGAAAGTTTAAAATTTTCTATTGCTGTAATGAAACATTCTTAAATATATATATATTTATATATATATATCCACACAAACAAGCTTATAACATTATGTTTTATGGTCTCTGGATCCTTTCTACCAAGGCCTCAGGAATACGCTGCCCTCATCCAGAATCACTCACTATGCATAACCCAAACCAGGACAGACTTCTGAAGTGAGACCATCAAAGCAACTTCTCCAACACATCCTCTTCCTACCTACTAAGGGAATCCTCTTTTAAAACTCTACCATAACATATTCCACTCACTACTGCAAATATCCTCCCACTTATCACATACCATCCTCAAAAATAACTTTCCGCTTTCCACTAAATTAAACCCTCAGAGAGTATTTAATTCTACCTATGAAAGGAAATAACCACTACTTTGGGCCTGAAAAAGTTCACAGAAGATGAAAATTTAAAACTAACTCAACTAGTAAGATTTCATGCTAATTGGTGAGAAAAAGCAAAAAAGTTCAAACACACACGTTAAGTGTTCAACTATGGAAAACATTTTAAAATATATTAATTTATAGAAATTGAATAGGATGCCAGACAAAGAAAGGATGATTATAAATTAATTTGCTTATATTATCATGTTTTTATCTTCTCAGTCAAAAGTTCCATGTGGGCAAAAGAAATAGTATGGCAGTCCAGGTATTTGCCTTGCAGGTGGCTAATCCACATTTGATCCCAGCACTCCATATGGTAGCCCCAAGCCCCACCAGGAGTGACCCCTGAGCACAAAGCTAGGCATAAGCCCTGAGCAATGCCTGGTGTGGCCCAAAAAGAACTTTCTAAAAAAATTTTAATTGCATAATTTTGGGGGGCTTTTCTCTTACAGTCCCCCATTACCTAGGACAGTACCTAGCATTTAGTAATAGGTGGCCAATAATAATTTGCCAAAGATATAAAGAGATGAATTAACAAAGAATCTTATTCCTAAAGATGATTTAATTGCCAATTAAATTTAAGTGTTCTTAGGAAAAAGAACTAGAAAAAAAAAGAGGAATATAAGTGCAAAGAGAAATTGTTTTCTACTTCAAAACTAGCCAATATTTGGTAAATCATAGAAAATAAACCTTCACATCAAACACAGCAATTATGCTGTGAAAGGGGGTGTGGAAGTTAGGTGAGGAGGTGGAATAAAACGATCATATTCTAGGACTGCTATTTTGTTATTAAAGGTCAGTTATTACTGATTTTCATTCAATCAGTAAGGATAGTAAAACAGTATCAATTTCATTTTCAGGTGAACCAACTTTCTAAAAACCCACAGCTTTCACCCTTTCCCACAGTCATTGCTTCTAATAATTTTTTAAAAAAAAAAAACTTAAACCTGCACAGAAATAAAACTAAGCACCTTAGTACAGTTAACAATACTCCAACAAACCAAAGCATACAAATTCCTAGTAACTTTTAGGCCCAAAATAACGACCTGCTTTGAAATGAACTTAGAATAATTCAGTTGAGTGATGGCACGTCCTTAAAACGATTCCCTTTTAACAAGTACCTAAATGTTTATGACTAGGTTCCAGGAGGCAGGAAAACCAATCAGTAGCTACAAATCACACTGTCAACCTGAATTTCTCAAAGATCCGTGATGAAATTCCAAAAAGCCAAAGATCTCCTTTCCCAAATTAAACTTAAGACAAGTTTCTTTCGCAAGTCATATGCTCTGTCCACGAAATTTCCTCCTTTCCAAGCCTGACCTTAGCAAAACCCGAACTCTCACGAGCTCCACTTTTTTCTTAAGACCCTGAACCACTCCTTTTGGAGAGGGGCCGGGGACGGTGGGCAACTACCACCAAGGATCGTCCTCTCTGATTCCAAAAAAAAAAAAAAAGACAACGACAACGACGAGGAGAACCTTTCTCACGCTTGCTCGAACGCCTAAACTTCTAGAGAGTTTTAGAGAGTCTCGCTTGCATTCCCGCCCCCCCCCTAATTTCCCCTTCTCGGTTTTACGCAAATCCACCGAGTTGGGGAGACGGGGAGGGGTAAGGGTGCACTTGCTCGCAGGCTGCCTTGAAAGCGGAGAAGGGAACTGAGGGATCGATCTCGTGGAAATGATTTAAGGGGACACTTTGCAGGACTTTGTTTCCCGCGAATCGCGAGTAGCGGGGCAAGGGGGTAAGGGTTGCGGGGTGGAGGGGCGGACCCCCTTCCTGCTCCTTCCAAGCTTGCCGGCTTCAGGTCGGGGTCGGTTCCGAGCTCGGGAAGGACGGCCCGGGCCAGAGGACGAGAAAACGCGAAGGCACCCGAGGCCGGAGAGCGGCGCCGCTGGAGGGCGAAGGAAGCCGGGCGGGGGGAGACTTGCGCGCGCGCGCGCGCGCGTGGGGAGAGGGGGGTAGGTGTGTGTATGGGGGGGAGGGGGTCTACCTGGTTCACAGCATCCGTGGTGATGGTGGTCAGTCTGACAGTATTTGTCCCTTAAAGGCATTTTCAGTGGGCGCGACCTACTTTTCCTTTCAGTGTAAGCAGCTCTTCATCGCGGCCGGGGCTGCTGGAGAGAAAAGCGCACAGCCGTCACCCACCCCGAACTTCCCGGGGGTCCTCCCCACCCCGCCGGGCCGCCCACCCGCCCGCCGCGGCCGCCGCCCCCGCCCCGCGGTACTCCAGCACCTCCTCGAGCCCCCGGTTGAGGACCAGCCGGCGCGCCGCACGCCGGCCCCGGGGACCCCGACTCCCACACAGGTTCGCCGGCCGACCCGGAAACGCCGCGCCGAGCGCGCAGCAGCGCGGGGCCAGGGCCTGGCCGGCGGCGCGGGCGAGCGGGCGAGCGAGCGGGCGGGCGGCGGCCTCGGCGGCCCCGGGCGGGCGCGCGCGCGGGGCCGGGGGTCCGGGGGCCGCGGGGCGCGGCAAGCAGGGCCGGGGGGGCCCCCCGCGGGGGTCCCGCCCGCGTCGGGGGCGCGGCGCGGCGCCCGCCCGGCCGCCTCTCCCACCCCCGCGGCGCGCCCTCCCGCCACACACACACACAAACACACACGTGCGTGGGGGGGTGGGGGGGTCTCGCCCGGCCGAGCCCCCTCCCCCGTCCCCACCCCCAAGTGCGCCCAACTTACTTAACTCCGAGGGCGGGCGGGCGGCAGGAAGGAAGGCCGGCGGGGGCACAGCGCGGCGCGGCGCGGCGCGGGAGGCGGCTCCGGCCCCACCTGGCGCAGCCGCGGCTGTGTGACCGCGCGAACGGGAACCGGGGCTTCGGGCCCGACGCGCTCCCAAAGAGTCCCCCCGGCGGCGCCGACGCGGAAGCGCCACAGCTCACCACGTCCCTCCGCGGCCCGCGGCGACGGCGGCGGCGGCGGCAGCGGCAGCTCACGGCGTCCCTCCGCGCCGAGGCGCTGGGCGGGCGGGCGGGCGGGCGGCGCGCGGGCGCAGGCAGTTGACAGGAGGAACCGCCCCGCAGCGGCCGCCGCCGCCGCCGCGGCCGCAGCCAGCCGAGGAGCCGGAACCGGAGCGGCGAGCAGGACCCGAAGCGCCCCGCTCGCCGGGGCTACGGCGGCCGCCGGAGCCCGGCTCTCCCCCGCCCCCGGCGCCGCTCCACCTGCAACCGTTCCCTCCGGCTGTGGGAGAGGGGCGGGGAAGCGGGGAGGGAGGGGGGCTCTTCCCCCCCACAACCTCGGGCTTTGGGCGGGGAAGAGGGGGCAGGAGTTGCTGTTTCGGGAAACTTTTATTAGGTCGGTCTCGCGGCGGGCTCCGCTTCCCCCGACGCGCCCGAGCGACCGCCGCAAAGCCGGGGGTGGCGGGGAAGCCGCCTCTCTCCGGCAGCAGCGACGGGGAGCGACGGACTGACCCCGGACGGAGATGGGGCGAGGGCAGGAAGTGACAAGCTCTCGGGGTGGGTGGGGGGGAGTGTGGCCGGCACGCCCGGGAGCGCCGCGCGCATGCGCTCGGCCCGCGGCCCCCCGCCGGTGGAGACGCGACGCGCGGCGCGGCGGCGGCGGCCGCGCGCGGCTCGAGGGGCGGTGGCGGGAGAAGAGCCGCGACCCAGGGGTGGGGGTGCGCGGGGCGAGGGTGGGGGGTCTCCGGCGGGCCACGGCGTCGTCCCGCCGCGCGAAGCCGAGATCCCACCCACCCCATTCCCGGAAAGGCGTGCGACGCGTACCCCCCATCCCCGTGCGGGCCGGCTTGGCACGCCCGGGAGACGCGCTGCTCAGCAACCAAACTGTTGCTGCAGCTCGGGTGGACGTGCGGGTGCGGGAGGGCTGAGAGAGGACGCGCGCGCGCGCCTTAGCGAGATAGAGAGAGAAAAAGAGAGAGAGGAGAGAGGCCCCCAGCCCCGCTGCCCGCGCGCCCTCCTCCAGGTGTCGGCCCTCCTGGAGCGCGGCGGGTCCCGGAACGGTGACGGGCGCGCACAGAAGCGGTCAAAGTACCAACCTTTTTTTTTTTTAATCCACCCATTCCAGAAGAGAGAGAGAGAGAGAGAGAGTGTGTGTGTGTGTGTGTGTGTGTGTGTGTGTGTGCTTTGTGTGTCGGGGTGCGTGTGTGTGTGTGTGTCTTCAAATCGGGCGGGTGTCGTTTGGGTTTGTCCGGTTAATGAGTAAATCAGGTCCCGGTGAGCAAAGCAACCTAGGGATGGAAGGAGCCGATTCCAGCATCACAGGCATTTTGGAACCCGAAAAGTGAAGTTGGATCACGTGGGTCGTTGGCACTTTTCCCCTCCCTGGCAGCGGCCGGGACCCGCTGGGGCGAGGAGGGATCTCTTGCAGGTTGCAGGGTTGGCTGCCTGTCAGGACTGGCCTCTCAACCCCGTAGGTGGCTTCAGATGGGAAGGGGGAGGCACCACCCCGCCCCGAATCCTAGCACGCGTTGCAAAAAAAAAAAAATCGTCCCATCCGCTGTCGTCGGGGAAATGTTAAGGGAAGAGCATCCCTTGCCCCTTCCCCGTATCTCCTCTGCGGTGCTCCTTCCCATCCTCAACCCCAAAAATCCTCTAAAAACACGTCTAACTTGAAGGCGTTTGTTTGTCTTAAGGTCCTGGAAACAGCATTTTAATAGCTAGATTCTGATGGTGTTTGGGAAGTTCAAAGGAGACATCTTTTTATTTCCAAAATTCCAAGGGGAGTTTGTAGTCTACCCAATAACTGCTAAATTTGTTATCTGAGAAACATTGAACCGAACACTGGCATAGGTCTGGGGTGCGGAGGGGGTGTTGTAGAAGCTATCAGGGGGTAACAGGAAAAGGATAGAGAAACGATCAACCTTTAGAAAAGAACTTCAAGTATTGTACTTTCTACTCAAGTTAACCATAGTATGCTCAATCATTTTCTCTATCCTGTTGTCAAGAAACATCAAAATATGAAGAAATGTAATAAAAAAGCATAATTTACAAACATTGAAAATATAATTTACAAAGTTAAAATACATTTGAGTGATAGTGGTTGTTAACTCAGTTTTTAAAAAAACATTTTGTTTAATTGCATACCAAATGCTTTAGAAATTTCAGTGACACCTTACAGTAGACTTATAGTTGATTTTTAACATTGGAGAGAAGATGAAACCTTGAAGATTATCTAGTAAAACTTACTTTATAGATGAGGAAACTGGAATCTGGAGAAGTTAGGTGATTTTCCAAAGGTTACACAGTAACTGAATCATCTAATATTATCTGTTGTTCATTTCAAACTATCATGTCACTTTTAAAAACACTGCATACAAACCGTCCCAGAAAAATCGACTATCTTTCAAGTACACTTCAGCAACCTAGGTGACACATTAGTGCAGTTTTTAAATAACTTTATGATCCATAGAGTCTGAAAATGGATCCTAATGATTAACCCAAGAGCTTTTTTACAATTTGGAATTATGTTCTCATCTTGAAAGCAGAACAACATGATGACCATATAACAAACTCTCCTGGAAGTAGTGCCTCACAATCACTTTATATACTCTGCTCTACAGATAAGTAATTTAGTCTGGTCTTGCGGAAATCTTGGTGTAACTGCTATAGTCATCTGCCACTTTGGCACACATTTAGCAGTTGGCAGTGACTGTTGGCTGGAGCTGTCTCTGGCCTTGCATCCTCAGGATTAGCCTGGGCTGCTTCATATGGTGGTAAAATGCCAAGCAGGTACCAAGTAGGAGACTTCTTGAAACCTGAAGTTTTATGTTACATGACATCCCTTCCACCACATACTATTAAGTTAAAAAGGCCAGTTCAGGTGCAGGAATTAGGGAAATACATTCTTGTTGGTGGAAGGGACTGCAAAGTCATTTTACAAAGGGATATATATATATATATATACATATATATGCAAGTAATGGAGAAATTGCTCTGATGGTCTTTGCATATAGTCTTATCAGTAGCACTGTCCTCCCGTTGTTCATTGATTTGCTCGAGTGGGCACCAGTAATGTCTCACAACAAATTATGAGACTTGTTGTTACTCTTTTTTTGGCATATCGAATACGTTACGAGGAGCTTGCCAGGCTTTGCCGTGTGGGCAAGATACTCTCGTAGCTTGCCAGGCTCTCCGAGAGGAGCAGAGGAATCGAATCTCCGTCGGCTACGTACATGGCAAATGCCTTACCCGCTGTGCTATATCGCTCCAGCCCAGTCTTATCAATAATTCAACAATAATGAAAACAGCTGAGGGTTTTTTTTTATGTTTTGTAATGACATTAAGAACTGCAAAATGGTCCAGAGAGATAGTACAATGTTTAGGGTTACTGTCTTGCACATGAACGGTTTAATCCCTGGCACCCCATACGGTTCTCTGAGCACTACCAGGAGTGATCTCTGAGCAGAGTCAGAAGTAAGCCCTGAGCACTTGAAGATGTAGCACAAAAATACCCAAGGCATCTAAACTTAAACTGAGAATTTGATGCTCTTGTGAACTTACCTTTTTTAATTTATTACTTTAAGATTTTCTCATCTGGTCTAAAGAGACTCCACTGAATCTAGCATAAAAATCTCACCTTGAGGTCCAGGGGATAACTGTAAGGGCTAAAGTGCATGCTCGCATGCAGGAGCCTAGGTTTGTTCTCCAGTACCACATGGTCCCTTGAGCACCATCAGGTGTGAGCCAAAAGATCAAAACCAAAAAACTAGCATCAAGTAGAAACAATTAATACCTGTATTGCAGACCACAACACCCTAAAGGAGAGAGAAAGTAATAGGATTCACCTGCCACGGGTGGGGGGGTGGGGGCAGGGAGGTGGATACAATGGCAGGGGACAGTGGTGAGGGGGGGGAACAACATCAGTGGGAACACTGATGGTGGAGAATGGGCACTGATGGAGGGATGGATACTCAATCATTGTATGACTGAAATGTAAGCACAAAAGTTTCTAAGTCTGTAACATTCACAGTGATTCATTTAAAAATAAAATAAAATTTAAAAAATTTTAAAAAGTAGAAACAATCACAATTCCTACAGAATATATATGCTCTAGTCCAGATTTTACTAGTATCGATTATAATGTGGCATTCTATAATAGAAATCTATAATTATATACAAATCAAATTATGGGGGTCAAAAGAGGGTGAATTTTAGGGTTGTCGATGGAAAAATGGTATAACAGAAAACTGGTTTAAAATGGTTTAACAGAAAACTGTTAAACCCTTGATAACAGTATATCAACTATAGAATTTAATGTCTCAATATTATGTAAGCAACATATTAAAGACAACAAAGCTTTACCCAAAACGTTTATTTGGGGAGCTTGGGGGTCTCTACCTGATTGTGCTCCAAGCTTAACTCTTCACTGTCGCCTTAGGGATAACTCCTGGAAGTGTTCAGGAAACCATATGCAGTGTAGGGATCAAACCTGGGTTTGGTTGCATGCAAGGCAAGTGCCTTAACCCATGTGCTAACTCTCTGACCCCTAGAAAGCTTATTTTAAGGAGAGTGAAGAGTAAATTGTTACAGAGTTTCTGCCTACTGGAAAATCCCAGTCATGGAGTAAAAGCTTCATTCCTGGTGCTTCTTGCTGACTAGGTGACAGTGCAAGGCACCATGCTGTCTTGTGGGCCTCACACCTTACCTAAGAGTAGTTCTTCCCTTCAAACGGATTTCAGATAGTATTTAATGAATTCTGTGGGGAACAGGGTTCTTTTCTTATAGTGGATTTTGTCTGTAAGCTTTTATTATAACTTCTAATGATAATTTGTCTCTGACTAAACTGCTTTCTAGTTTCTCTGAGTCTTAAAAAAAGTCCAAGGTTAGACATTATTCCACTTTACAAATATGGAAACAAATCTGAACTAGGATTTAGACCTGAGTCCAGATTCTGTGCTTAAAGTTGCATATGTTCTGGCTCTTCCTAAAAAAGTTATCTCCCTGAAAATGTTATGTTATGTCCCTGGAATTTCTAAGTTCTATTTCTACTCTGAGACAGATTATCTGAATTTCCCCCAGCATCTCAAGATTAACAAGACCAAAATTAGACATATCTTCATACCAAACCTTTCTTACAGATTTTAACCACATGGTTGCTATGTATACAGGCACGAGAGGTAAAAGATTTGGAGTCATTCAGAGGAGCATATTGCAGAAACATAAGCATAAAGCAGGTTACCTGTGTACAAGATTCCTCAACTTCTCACCAACTATTTTTTAATGAAAATTACAACTTTGTATCTGAGAAATCTCTAGAATTATACCAGATGAAGTGCTTTATATAAAGTCAGAAAGCTTGATGGTATTTCTACTTTTAGTCCATCAGATATTGATCATCAGCAG